GGCTACAAGGGCACACTGTTGACTCATATCCAGCTTCTCATCCAGTGTAACTCCCAGGTCCTTTTCTACAGAACTGCTGCTGAGCCAGTCGGTCCCCAGCCTGTAGGGGTGCTTGACCAAGCCCTGGCTGGGATGATTGAGTCGGGGTGGGTCCTACTTTGGGCAGGGGGCCGGACTCGATGACTCCTGAGGCTCTTCCAGGCCTAGGATTCTAGAGAAAGGGGTTAACAGGGAGGTGGCAAAATTTGCAGGTGATACCAAACTTGCTCAAGATAGTTAAGCCGGGAGCAGACTGGGCTCGTCTAGACGACAGTATAACTGAAGTGTGGATTTACATATCCCGTGCTTCATTTGCATATTCGTGTCCGATGGCAGTTTCGAAAAAGGGCATTTCGAAAGTGAAACCGCCGTCTAGACCCGGTTCTTTCGGAAAAAACCCGTTTTCGAAGGATCCCGTACGCTTCATTTTTGTCTTGGCCCCCCAAGGGTGGCTCTGGTGGTGACTCTGGTCCGGCCAAGCAGCTGCAGTAAAAGCTGGGGGAGCTCGCAGCTGGTGGGACCGTCCAGTTCTCACGACTGGGCCCCCGCATGGATTCAGAATTTCCCAAGCACGAGGGCAGAGGAATGAGACCCCTCCAACTCATCTCACGTGTGACCTCGGAGAGGGGGCAGCTCCTAGCGGGGGGGGAGAGCAGCTCGTGGCTCCGCCCTCTTTCCCCTCCTTCTGGGGCCACGTCAGACCCATGGCCAGGGCTGCACTGGCCGGCCCCCTTGGAACTGACGCTGTCCTGCGTGTGTCTCCTCTCACCCAGCACCTCACCTTCCCACTGCTCACCGTCACCGTGCTGGCTTCCTTCGGCTCCTCCCTGCTGTACGGCTACAACCTGGCCGTGGTGAACTCGCCGGCCGTGGTAAGAGCTGTGTCCGTCCGTCCGTCTGTCTCTGTGCGGGAGGGTCACTGGGATACCTTGGGCCAGGCAGCTATGGAGACAGGGTCTCCAGCAGGCAGGTGGATTATCCCCATGGGGATGCAGCCACCTCTGGGGTGTGGCGCAGCAGGCCTGGGAGTGCGAAAAGAGCGGCTGAAGCCAAGTGATGCTCCAGGGGGAAGCGAGGAGGCCGGGGGGACCCGCTGAGCCACCAAGGTGCCGTTAGGACCCCGGCTGAGACAACACACCCCAAAAGGCCTTTGCGGACCCCACCCAGGTAGGGCCAACGTTCGAGCTGCCCCTCAGCACAGCGCCCCCTAGCACGGGCTCAGCGCTGCCCCTTCCAAATGACCCTTGGGCAGATCTGCTAGCGGGTCGGGCAGCAAAGGGTTGTGGTGTCTGGCCCAGCCCCCAGCCAAGGGGGAGGCAGAGCCGATGACAGATTTCCCGGGGGGCCGTTTGTGCAGTTTCATCGCGATCTACACTCCCCGTGGGAACACGTCCCTCCGGACAGAGTTTCCCTC